CATATGAAGTTACAAAAAAAGAGAAATAAAGAAAAAAGATGAATACTCCTCTGCTATAAAAATTAATTTTCATGTTAAGAGATATCTGCTAAAATAAAATAAAAAAATATTAAAATGTTAAACTATAGTCCCACTACATGTGGGTCTGTTCAAAGCTCCCTTTTTGGTACATACCCCTGGCCCCAGTCTTCTCTCAGGTTAACAATAAGCTTGGTATATCATCCTTCCCACCAAGATGGACAACTCAACAAATATATCTAAAATCTCACCTCTACCTCTGTAAACACTTATCAGATTGATGACAGAGAAGGTAAACATGGAAATATCCTGTAGCTTCCAGGTATATATTCAATGTTTTTTCTTCCTACACCCAAGTAAACTTCAAAGATTTCATTAAAAACAATAAATTCAACAAAAACAATCCAATTTAAAAAGGACTAAAGAACTTGAATAGACATTTCTCCCAAGAAGATATAAAAATAGCCAATAAGAACAGGAACAGATGGATGCTCAACATCACTCGGTTATAGGGAAATGCAAATCAAAACCAGAATGAGATAGTACCCCACACCCATTAGAATGGTTACTATCAAAGAAAGAGAAAATATATGAGGCATGGTGGCACCTGCCTGTAATCTCAGCTACTTGAGAGGAAGAGGACAGACAGCAAGTTAGATGCTAGCTTTGGTAACTGAGACCCTGTCTCAAAATGAAAAATCAAAAGAGGTGGGGGGTAGGGATGTAGTTCAGGGTAGAGCACTCCTCAGTTTAATCAATGTGGGGCGGGGGAATGGCTTTTCATCAAAGTAACTCTGAAGGCAAAGAAGGAAGCTCCTGCCCCTTTCAAAGCCAAACTACAGCCAAAGCTTTGAAGGCCAAGAACAGTGTTAAAAGGCATCTACAGCCATAAACGAAAAAAGATCTATGCTTTACCCTACCTTCTGCCCATCCAAGATACTGCAGTTCTGGAGGCATCCCAAATATCTACTTCATTTGGCAGAATAGCATTTTGTGGGAATAGTGGAACTACTCATATCAGAGAGATGAGCACTGATATGCTCAGTGAAAACCCTATTCCTCCAGGTTTTTCCAGATCCTGGCCTCAGGCCTTCCAAACACACATTCCTGATTCTGTTACTTCTTACAATTCAGTACCTCTCTACAGTTTTTCAATCAGGCTGGAATAAGCAAACTACTTTACCATTCATATTAACCAGGATTTCCCACATGCACTCAGTTTCCCAAGAAAACCAGGAACTCTAATGAATGCTTTTCCTGCTATTTGGATTCTCTCCCTTCTAAATCTCTCACTATATCTACTTACCCTTGGTATCCTTCAAAAACCATATAAAATACCAACTCCTAGAGAAATGACATGGATATAATTTCCTAGAGAAGTAGTATCTCTTCCATCAAACTCCCTGTCTGGTCTTAAAACATCTGACATTTGCCAGGCACAGTGGTGCACACCTTTAATCCCAGCGAYTAGGGAGGTCAAGGAAAGAGAATCCCAAGTTTGAAACTTGGAACTGATTTAAAAAACAAACAAACCTGACATTTAATTTTAATGAATCAAGTTATACAAGAACTATGTTCTTGTTTTATTTCTTGAATTCTACATTATAGGCATCATGGTTGAAGAAAGAGTTATGTACTTTTTTTTTGTACTGGGGATTGAATCAGGGGCACTCAACCACTGAGCCACACCCCCAGCCCTATTTTGTATTTTATTTAGAGACAGGGTCTCACTGAGATGCTTAGAGCCTCCTAGTTGCTGAGGCTGGCTTTGAACTCATGATCCTCCTCCCTCAGCCTCCCRAGCTTCTGGGATTACAGGTGTATGCCACCAAGCCTGGCAGAGTTATATACTTTAAAATCTTTTATAGTATGTTTTCCAGAGTATATTACTCAATAATTATTCATGCTTACTCAACATACTCAAAGAGATCTACAAAAAATGATTGAAGAGAAAAAATAAAAAGTCCTATTTGGTATATTTCTAGGGTCTAAAATGCTATACTTTAGTAAGAAATCAACAGAACAGCAAAGTAACACAGGCTATGTTCAAACTATAGTTTTGCCACTAACTTGATACCAAATCTCAAGAAAGTTATTTTTTTTCTCTGGGTCTTAGTTTCTCTATCTGTAAAATGGTAAGAATATCACCTACCTCAAGGGTTGGAGTGAAAAACTGAGTTCATACACAAAAATACATTTGACAAAGCCTGGTATATAGAAAGTCTTCAAAGCATTTAGGTAGACATTATGTTTATCATCATCATTTCTCCAGAAATCAATCTGTCCATTGGTAAATTGATAATATCAGGTATCTTTCAATTCAGACTCACATTGGAATACCTTATGACACTGAAGATAACAGAGATTGCAAGACATTGACAAGTTGGGGTAAGCTTCTTAAGAGATCTAGAACCTAGGTTAGGTCTGTAAGCAGGATAGAGATGTGCTGAGAAAAAGACATTCTAAAGAGAAATGATGGAAGTACCAAAGAGTACAGCGTAAGGATGAAATCTAGTTTAGAGTTTGTGTTTTGGTGAAAATAAGATATGGACTAAATGACTTTAAAAATAGATTAAGGAGCCAGGTGCGGTGGCACGCTCCTGTAATCCCAGCAACTTGAGAAACTGAGGCAGGTGGATCACACATTGATTTTAGAGCAACCTCAGCAACTTTGAGAGACTATCTCCAAATAAAGAGGCTGGGGGTGGATCTCAATGGTACAGCACCCCTGGGGATTCCATCCCTAGTACAATAAAGAAAGTAGTAGACTAAAAACAACAACTGATTATAAAAATTGTTACTTTATTACTAGAGTTTTTGGAGGAAAATTTGGGGAGTAGTGGCACTTGATGAGCATCTACTTTACCTAATGATCTGCTTTGAGAAATCTCACACTGTATACTAATTAGTACTTTAATGAAAATCTGTATAAAAAACAAGAATTTCATCACATTCTTCTAAAACCAATAAGTAATTGCTGGATTAGCTATTTTTAAAAACATCCCTTTCTTTGCTATTTAATAAAACTAAATATGACTATCCTTATATTATATATTATATTATATATTATATATATATAATATATATATAATATATAATATATATATTATATATTACATATATTTATATATATATAATATATAATATATAATATAATATATTATATTATATTATATAATATGACTATCCTTATGATAGAACACATTTCTGGAGAACTGCCCTCCTGCTCGAATTATGTTACATTATTTCAATGCAAGTCAAATTTTATGTTCTCTGCTGGGGGATGGTTCCCATCTTTTGCAGAGTAAAGGTGAAATCCTCATAACAGCCTAAAATGTCTTGGTCCTCCCCCACCCRTCTTTCTTGAACATATCTCCTATTACTCCCTCCTTTGCTCAGTACTTCAAGCCCATCAGTCTTCTCACTGTTCCTCTAATAGGCCAGCTTTATCCTCTTCAAGGCCTTTATTCTTGCCATTCCTTCCACTGGAATGTTCCTTTCCCCAGATACTTCAACTGCTCACTCCCTCATCTCCTCCTGTTTAAATATCAACTTGTCTGAAAGGACTTCCCTCACTACTTTATTGCAAATTGAAACCACCTTCCCATCCTGCTTTTCAGCTTTATTTTCCCCCTGAGGCACTGATTATCTTCTAACATACATCAGAATATATATCTGTCTCCCTCCCCACAAGAAAATTTCATGAGGACAGAGGTCACAGACCTCTCAATATCTAAAACAACCCCAGGGAACAGGCACACAGTAGGCATCAGTACAAATATTCCTTGAATGAATGAATTATATTATGCTACATAATCTTCCTTCTGGGTACAGAAAAATACTTTTTCACCGATGAAAGTTTAAAGACAAATTTTTATTCTAAACACCGCTCACTTTCTACCTGCCAGAACTGGGCGGGACTCTTAAAAAGTTTAAATGAATTAATATACAGTTCTTTGCCCCATAGGAACTCGTGCGTGTATATGTGGCTGTGCAAATATACAAAAATCATTTACGAAACAACATACAGGGAAGCCACAGAAAATTAAAAGGCAAACTAAAAGACTGAGGGCCAAAGAAGGAAATGCTCACAGGATAAGGAATCTATAGTACCCCCCCAAACTCTCATTAATATGTTTTTCCCTATATTTTTGGTGTGCGTGCTTGCAATCCACATAAATTATTTGCTAACATAAGCTTTCCAGCAGGCCGCAAAAAGTTTGTGACAATGGTGATGCTAACCCCTGATCTACCCAAGGTTTCACRAAGATCACTGTCTTTACAATCTTCTTGTTTGTCAACTTTTGCTACCGGGAACACCTACTCCGGGACTTTTATCTCCCTGCCTACCTGAGTCAGAATCCTCCCGGTGGCTCTCAGCCTGGAGCCCAGCACCCTGCAAATCCCTTCCCTAACCTGGCAGGCGCCGCCTCCGGAAAGCCGCCAACTGGGCCTCGGCATGAGTTGCTAGCAGCGGGAGCCGTGGGAGGGCGACGCAGCTCCGAAGGCTCCCTCGAGGCCTCAGACTGCACTCCCATCCCTCCCCGGCCCCAGAGGCTCCGCCGACTCTTTGTTAAGCGAGGCCGGGGTTCCTCAGCCTTCGCTAGGCCCCATAGTTACCTCTAGTGCTTCAAAGGGCTAGCGACCCCGCGTCCTGCCTCCCCCTTCCCCCTCTGCCACAAACCTGCTGCTATGGCTGCAGCGGCAGCTGCTACTACCGCCGGCGCGGAGAGAATCCCACGGCCCAAAGTACGCGCGGTACAGGCCCCGTCCCGCCGCGCTCCTCCCTCTCCGCCCCCTTCGCCGCCGCCGCCGCCTCTCGGCCCGTTGCTGCCGGGGGGGAGGGGAACACACACCTGACATGCGCAGTAAAGAGAGCGCGGGCCAAAGGGCGGGGCCTGGGGGGCTACGGCTGCCGGAAGGCTCCGCTACTTCCCGCCCATGAAGTTCCAGAATCCCTCACAGGCTCCTTGGGCACTTACACGGGAAGCTGCTGCTGGGTGAAGTGTTCATGGCCCKTCAAGAAAGGGGGTCTGGGATGAAGACAGAGTGGCAGTAACAAGGAGTTGCTCAAAAATTCCAAGAGAAAGGAGGTTGGCTGAAAACCACTTATACGTAAAAAAAAAGTCGATCCCAAATCAGCTCCTTTGCAAATAAGACTTGGGCAACATTTCCTCGCATGCCTGTGACCACATGGTCCCATAGAGCATGGCCACCTTTAGCTTCCGGAGCACCAGTTCAGAGTGACGTCAACCCGGCTGGACCCTAATAGAAAATGCCGGCTTCGGCGAGGGCACTTACGGCCCACGGGCGGGGATTATGTAACCTTCCCAGAAGCCCCATCTCGCTTCTTCTGGGCGGTGGAGGGGTAGGTCTGGTGCTGTAACTGAGTTCGCGTTACGCCCCCCACGCCCAGCGCAGGCGCGGATGAGCCACACGCATTCTACGTAACGGACGGCAGAGATTACGTGAAAAGAGGGGCGGTGTGACTGAGCTACCTGCTTCTGCCTTGTCTTACTGGCATAGCCGCCAGTAAACCTCGGCGACGATAAAGGTGGTAGCCAGGCTGAGAAGCAAGGCCGCAGGAGCGCCCGGCGGGCTTTAAGCTCGGAAACAGGTAGGTAGCGGGCCGTGATGCAGTTAATCGGTGGGGCTGGGTCAGGCCGAGCGGCGACTGAGTTGCGTGGCCTATAATTCGGTCCTGTTTTTCACCTAACCAGCCCTTCTGCCCTGCCAATGGTGACATGCATCCATCCCCGCGACTTCTCATATCCCCTTTTTTTAAGAATACGCACACACACACACATACATGCATACGTATATATGTTATATTAAATATTAAATCTTTGTTCACTCTTCTGGATCATTTTCTATTGGTCTTTTGGGGACTGGGGTAATTTTAGTGTGTTTTGGAATCTTCACAAAGCTCTGAGCAAATGCCAACCTAAAGGACAAAGTTAGAGGAAATTTACAACGTGAGGCCGGAAAAATGGAGCATAAACATTGGGATGAATGGATTCTCCATGGTGGAGAGAGACTAAACAAGGGTGGTTTGATAGATGCAACTACTTTCTGTAGTCAGCCTTCTSTGAAAATTGTTAACATAAAAAGAGGTTTTAACCAAACTTTTAAGGAGACAGAGGACTAATGTCAGAGGCCTCTTCTAAAATGACAGCAAAGAATGGTTGCTTTACTTACTCTTTCGTTTTTAAGTCCAGAGTCCGTCACTGAGAGACTACCCAGTGAGTTTATAGATAATAATCAAACCAGGCTTGTTAGTGCTTGTGCCCTGCCTTGGTTCAGTGTTCCCTAGCTTCAGGAGTCCTAGAGACTGGGCGACCTGGCACAGAGTTGTGCATTTGAGAAATGGGTTGACAGGTGCAGCAGAGACTTATGAGAGGAAAAGCCAATACACAAATGGCTTGTATAATATTAACCTAAATAACCTTGAAGGAGCCCTGTCACATGCTGAGTTATCTTAAAAATGCTTCTGTGTGTGTATTCTTAAAAGTTCCAAGTTAAAATTCAGTCTAAAATGACCATTCCGTTTTGCAGTCTATTAATCAAGTTGACAGCATCTGTTTGAAAAGGTTTAAGCCTGAGATCTGAAAAGGTGTGCCCTAAAATACTTTTTAATTCTTAAAAAGGTAATTAATAATGAAGGAACAGATACTTGTTGAGTGCCTTCTATGTGGTAGATACTACATGAGATATAAGCCCACCTCTTGGCTATTATGATTTGTTTCCAGATTTTCTTTGGGTGATTTCTCTCTTGAACCCCTCACCAATTCAGCTCTATACTTTCTGGTGATCCCATAGTGTGTCTCTTTTAAGCTCAAGTCTGTATCCTGAACTCTTATATTTCCATTTACTTTCTTTTTAAATAAGTACTAGATTGAATTTATTACCTTTTTCCTCATTATTTTTCTCCTTCGTTGTTCTTTATCTCAATGAAGGATGGCTTTGTCCAGCTATTCATTTTTATTTAAACAAAACTTGGAATCACTGCAGATCTTTATTCCCCATGTTCCCAGCATCTGGTTACTTTATGTTGCCAAATATAATTCTTAGTATCTGTCAAATCACTTTTACATTTCTGCCACTGCCAGTTAAATACTGTTTAATTATCTCAGYCACTTCTGAGTTTCCTGTGTTAAGTACCCTTCTAAGATTCATGCTGCCTATAAACTATGAAGATTAAGTTGCAAATCTGTATAGTTTTCCTATTTAAAATCCTTTAGTTGTTTCTAGTTATCCAAAGTTCTTGGTGTGTCAAATAAAGATTATCATTATCTGGCCACTGCTGTCCTTTTCAGCAAGTTAAGTCTGCAAACCCAATGCACAGCAAACTGAAATGTGTTATTTCAGGCCTTTGTGTCATAGCTGTTCCTTGTCTTCTTTCCCTAATGCAGAAAATATACTTTTATTTACAAAGAATTATTCTTTTAATTACAAGCATATATCATAGGAAAGTTAGAAAAAGAAAAAGAAAGACAATACCAATAACCATACCATACACACTAACTACTGTTCTTTGTAGATATATATACTTTCAAACCTTTTCCTTTATGTCCATTTGCTCCTAAAACAACATGGTTTCTAACTTCTTTGTAACAGATTTTAATGGGCAAAAGTAAGTTTGTTTGGATACATCCATAATTTAACCAAATAGTTTCAAAACTTGTACTGTCCTAAGTAATACTGTAATACATATTCTTTAAGCTAAATACCTGAGCAAATTTATGTCAGGAATTACATTTTACTTATCTTGGCATGATCATATGCTTAGTGGCATGGTAGTATACTTAGTGAAGGTATAGTTGATATAGTAGGATCATTTTATAGAAAACAGTGAAAGCCGGAAGAATTTTTATATTGTTTTGCAGGAATTGGTTGACCTTTGATGACTATTGAATCCTTATGTAACCAAAGTTGTTTTAGAAAGATGACAGTGGTTTTAAAGAAAGAGAAATAGGGAGTAGGAAAGAATTCAGTTTAGGATAATGCTGTGGTTTCTTAGCAGGTGGTGATAATTTGGATCATGGTGGCTTACAGAATCAAAGAATACATGGGGGTTTGATGACTGATTAAATTTCAAATGCAGAAGAAATGAGAAATTAGATATCTCATTTTTAAAAACAAGACTGGAAAAAATGAGATTAACATTATAAAAATAGGGAAATTCAGATACCTGCTGAGTTTAAGATGACCATAGAGCAGGGGTCAGCAAACAAAGCCTTAGAGGTGGCCTTTGAACTAAGAATGCCTTACATTTTTAAAGAGTTATTTTTAAAGGGTACCCAACAGTGTATGCTCCACAAAGCCTAAAATAGTTACCAAGTATAGTATGGGGTAGCGGGGGGATTGTAGAGCATGAAAATGGACATGCCTTTTAGATAGCAGATGATGTAAGTCTCATGTTTAGATAAGAGGCAGGACTTTTAAAATAAACCTAAATGGTTGGGGTTTTGGTTTTTTTGATGTTGTTGGTGGTGGTGGTGGTTGTTTTTTGTTTTGTTTTTGTTTTTGTACTTGTACAGATTGAACCAGGGGCACTCAACCACTGAGTTACATCCTCAGCCTTATTAATTTTTTATTTTGAGACAAGGTCTTGTTTAGTTGCTTAGGACCTCACTTAATTGCTTAGGTTGGCCTTGAACTTGGGATTCTTCTGCCTCAGCTTCTTGAGCTGCTGGGATACAGGTGTCTGCCACAACTTTCGGCCCCTAAATGTTTTTTGTTTGTTTTATTTTTGTATATATTTTTTGACATTTGAAATTCAGATAACTTTATTTAAATTGAAAAACAATTCTTAAAATTGCATTTAAAGTCAAGACCCTTTTGTTATAAAAATCACCAGAAGTATTTCTAAGTAAGGCAGAAAGAAGTATTTTTAGGTTAACAAAACCAGATTTGATTTTGGATTTTATTCTTAAGCTGTAGAGGAAGGAAAGGGAAAATTAGGTTATTTACAGAAAACATTATCTACATATGTATTCAGTTACAAATTTGGTGACAGAAAAGACTTTCAGTCTTTTAGAAGCAGTTCTCAAAGAGCTTAGTTTTATTTCCTCAGATTTTAAGAATGCCTAAGATCCTTCTTCATCCTTGATCTTGGGAGCCAAATAATACTTTAAATGTCCCATGTCAGCAATTTTATACTYTACAACAAAGGGTACATCTGCAGACATACTGAGTGTTACTGTAGGAGAGAGTGGAGTGGCTTTTGTAAAGAAGTTCAGGTACCTCAGTGCAAAAGTTAGCTGAACTGGCTCATTCATCTCTATGATAACAGCTTCCTTTTCTTTATCAACATTATTTGTTTGAGACAACTTAATGTTTCCATTTCCAAGTTCTCCACTTGCAGAAAGTTTCACTCATCTTTTGCATAGGATATTACAACAGCATCTCCGGTATGACTGAGGTCTCGGCATATATGTGCAAATTCACCAGAAGGCATCTTTACTACACAACTGTACTCTTGTTCTGGAATTCCAAAGTTGTTCAACATTAACTTCATTTCATAGTCTGAAACTTTCTCTTAATTCGGTGCTTCAAATACTAGCGCCAATGTATCCGCATTATCTTCAGCCCTTAATGTAATAATGTCTTCATTGCCAGCACATTTTAGTATTTTGGACATGCTGGTGAGGTTCACCCATGGCCAGGTTGCGATCACAGCGGTATGTGTCGAAGCCCTCGGAGCACAGGGTGAGCTGACCAAGGAGATGGGAGTCCATACTCTGAAGGTTTACACCACCAGAGCTGATGTCCCAGCAGGCCTCGTTGATGAGGTCCTTGAGGGCTTCCAGCACCTTCTTCAGGATGGACCCCTGGACCAGACGCTCCTCGAACATGGTGGTGAAATCTAAGACACAGCTACGGCTGGGCGGAAAGCAGTAAGGCCTATTCGGAGTTTAGGCTTCCCAAGGCCCAGAGAGAGTGGGCGAACACAGCAGAGACTGAGACCAGAGAAGACGACCTGTTTGTTTGTTTTAAATATATTTTTTTAAGTTATAGATGGACTCACTACCTTTATTTTATCTATTTACCTTTATGTGGTCTGAGAATCGAACCCAGGGCCTCACACATACTAGACAAGCACTCTACCACTGAGCTACATCCCAAGCCCCATTAGCTACTTCCAATGCAGCATAAATGCCTTAACTGT